TTAGGAAAAAATGGCGGCCATTTTGAAACGGCTGGCAACCCCCCTTACGTATGAAAAAAAAAATGTTGCACATACTTTTTTGATTTATCTATGTCTACTCTACATCATATCCAATTTTTAAAAAATATGGCAAAAAAAAAATGCAACCAACCAAAGTTTGCTGGACTATTTGTGGGGTTTACCAATACACAGATTGGGAAAATTGTGATTCCGCTTCCGTGAAATTGGCCACAAGTAAATTATTTTAGTATTAATAAATGCATGATTTATGTTGATTTATTGATTATGTTGTTGCTATTGTTTAACATTTAATTGGGAAAAAAAATAAAATGTGTAATTCATGGCTTTTTGTTTATCTTTGAATATTTTATCATTGAATATTATTTCTTGCAAAAAGTAAAATGTAAATGGCAATTTGTTTGATGTTAGATTCCTTTTAAAAACTAAATTATTTAAGATAAGAAAATGCATATAATGACTCAAGAAAATCAGTTTTAATTCAGAATTTGATTATTGGAGCCATTTTTACCTACCTGCCATATGGGGCCATTTTTACCAGGGCCATTTTTTCCGGGGCCACTATTTCCGAGGCCATTTTTTCCGGGGCCATTCTTACCGTACATCGCGCATGACAGTGCATAGCAAACGTTATGTAACCACTAATAATACTCAGGTTCAGTGGCGTAGGTATGGGCAGTGCAGTATTGGGGGCTCGTTCAATAGGTCTAATCAAGGAAATTCAACAGACTAACGAAAAAAATAAATAAATAAAAAAAATTATATTTCAAAAATTTAAAATTTATTTATTTTTGAATTGCCTTGGTCTAATGATCTAAAAATATAACTTTAAAAAATCCTATTTAAACTTTAAAAGAACCTTTCAATAATATTAGGTTTTAGAGGCTATAATTATTGATTATATTCATTACAATTTACCTATTACCTATTTCCCAAATGCTCCAAGTAAAAAAAAAAAAGACGACAACAACAAAACAAGCGCTTACGTGCAAGCTGGGTGGTCTAGAGGTATGATGCCATGCTAGTGATCTCTGGAGAACTGGGTTCGAATCCCACTGGAGAACAACTTTCACACGCACTGAGTATTCGGTACATTTCCACGAAAATTTGGGCAAAATAACACATATCCTTTCCGAGCCACTGGGGCTCATAGGGCTGGAGCTTATCCCCAGTTTCTGTAGTGTGAAGCGGATGAGAGTTGTACCCCCCCCCCCCTGGACGGGACACTAGTCCATCGCAGGTTAGTCCCCAGCAGATTCTCTGGTACCCATTGATACAGCTGGGTGGACTGAAGCAATGTAGCTAACGTACCTTGGCCAATCTGCACACCGGAGACTCGAAACCCCGACCTTACGATTGAAGTCCGAACCTAAACTGCCCCTACTAAAATTACACATATAGGGCCACCTAATTGATTCTCCTGACGCAAATCCAGGTATTGTTATTCCATCACGATAATAACAATTACCATTCAATAATAGAACAGTAGTCATCTCGACCTACTTGCAGTGAAGTGAATCTAAAATGTGTTCATGATGTTATGATGATCTGAAGTATTTAAAAATCGTACACAATAATAGTTGAACCAACTTTAAAATACCACAAATACAAATGTGCGTGACGATATTTTATTGCTTTAGAAATGTGATTTCAAAGAGTATATTAGTGCATCACGCATTGAGTAGGCCTATTCAATACATATTCACACAGGTTGGGCAAAATACATATAGGCCCCCTAATTGATTCTCCTGACGCAAATCCAGGTATTGTCTATTCCATCACGATAATAACAATTACCATTCAATAATACAACATTCATCAACCTACTTGCAGTGAAGTGAATATAAAATGTATTCGTGAAGTTATGATGATCTGAATGTGATTTAAAAACGTTTATTAGTGCATCACGCACTGAGTATTCAATACATATTCACGACAGGTTGGGCAAAATACATAATAGGCCCCCTAATTGATTCTCCTGACGCAAATCCAGGTATTGTCTATTCTATCACGATAATAACAATTACCATTCAATAATGCAAGTCATCGACCTACTTGTAGTAAAGTGAATCTAAAATGTCGTGAAGTTATGATGATCTGAAATGTTTAAAAACGTACACAATAATAGTTGAACCAACTTTAAACTACCACAAACACAAATGTGCGTGACGATATTTTATTGCTTTAGAAATGTGATTTCAAAAAGCAAATTAGTGCATCGTATGTAAGTGCTTGTTTTGTTGGGTTTTTTTAACTTTAAAAGTTTAAATA